AACACACAGAATCCAGGACAGATAAACCTCTCAAGACCAATAATGAGAGTAGTGATACCATGAGGGTAGGGGGAAGGTAGTGGGTAGAAGGGAGAGAAAGGGGGAACCAATCACAATCACAACCCTCCCCCCCTCAGGGGGGGGTCAAACAGCAAAAATGTGGGTAAAGGGAGACAGTGGACGGTGTAAATATGAAAATAAAAATAATTTATAAATTATCAAGGGTTCACGAGAAGGGGAGGAAGGGGGGCGAGGAGCTGATACAAAGGATTCAAGTAGAAAAAATGTTTTGGAAATGAGGATGGCAACATATGTACAAATGTGCCTGATACAATTGAAGTATGGATTGTTACAAGAGCTGTAAGAGCCCCCAATAAAATGATTAATTTTTAAAAAATAATAATAAAACCTTCAGGATAAAGTATCTGACCTGAGAAGAAACCTTGGAGTGGTTGAAATTCAAAAAAATCAATCAATCAAATAAATGTCATGGCTTCCAATCCAAGAACAATTATAACAGCCCTGCTTGATATTCACCCTCACAGAGATCACTGAAGGTACAGGCACTCTATCAAAGTGTAGTGAAGAAATTAGAAGGTGCTGGACTATCAGAAAGAATAGGGTCTGGAGTCCTGAAAGCTTAGCTTCAAACAAGAGGTCACCTGTGAGGCATCAATTAAGTCCACGTGGAAGAAGCCCACCAGCCTGTGTGACCCAAGGACTGTAAAAAAGAGAATCCCAATCCGAAGGAGAGAATGGTACCTTAGCTTAAATTGTGAACGCCTGGTTTGCAGAAAGCTATGGACAACAGTGGAAGCCCAAAATCCATTTGCAGTGTCCAACATAGATTAAACCTCTGGTGAATCCCCTCTGACTATAGTCGAGGAATGTGAATAGCCGTGTTATCAGACAGAGAGCACTGTAGAGACCATTATAGTACTTAGGGTTAAAAATATAATATCTTATTTGATCTCCCTTTTGATCCATTTTAAAGTTGTCTCAGTTTGTTAATAAAAAAAGGTGAAGGTGAAGTACACATGGCTCACGCTTCCGGTGAATCCAGCTTGAATTTCTGGTAGCTCCCTTTTGATAGACTGCTGCAACTGCTGTGGAATTATCATCAGCAAAATGTCACTTGTGTGCGATATTAATGCTACAGTTTGATCATTTTCACACTGTGTTGGGTCACTTTTCTTTGGAATGATAAGAAACATGCGTCTCTTCTAGTCAGTTGGCCAGATAGCTTTCTTCCAAATTTCCTGGCATTGACAATGAGTGATTCCCTTAGCTTATTGAAACATTTCCATTGGAATTCCGTCAATTCCTGCAACCTTGTATTTCATTAATGCCTCTGGGCAGCTTGGACTTCTTCCTTCAACTTCATTGGTTCTTGGCCATGAAATGATTGAATGTTTACCAGTTCTTGTTAGTACAGTGACTCTGTGTATTCCTTCAAGCTGCTGCTGATGCTTTGTGCACCAGTCACTATTTTGCCCGTAGAATCTTTCAGTATTAAAACTTGAGGCTTGAATTTTTTTTCTTTAGTTTCTTCAGTTTGAAGTTAGAATTTTCTTCCTTTTTGGCTTTCTAACTCCAAGTCTTTGTCTAATTCATGACTACACTTTACTCTGTCGTCTTAAGATCCCCTTTGAAATGTTCTGTTCAGCTGTTTTACTTAATCTTTTCTTCCATTTCCTTTTACTGCTCCCCACCCAAGAGCAAGTTTCAGCATCTCTTCTTTTTTAAAAAAAATATTTTAATGGGGGCTCATACAATTCTTATCACAATCCATACATATATCCATTGTGTCAAGCACATATGTACATTCGCTGCCCTCATCACTCTCAAAACATTTGCCTTCTACTCTAGCCCCTAATATCAGCTGCCCATTCCCCCCCTCCCATCCCCTTCCCCCCTCCCTCATGAACCCTTCATAATTCACAAATCATTGTTGTTTTGTCATAAGTTACACTGTCAGACGTCTCCCCCCACCCTCTTCTCTGCTGTTCATCCCCCAGGGAGGAGGCTATACGTAGATTCTTGTCATTGGTTCCCCCTTTCTACCCCACATTCCCTCCACTCTCCAGGCATCGCCCCTCTCACCACTGGTTCAGCAACTCTTCTGACATCTACTTTGATCTTTTCTTTCTCTGCTAACTTTTAAATGGCCCTTTGCTTTCTTCCTGTGTTGTTGTTCTTGGGTCCTTGGTTATTAGTGTTCAACGGGTTAAATAGAATCTTAAGATGTTCTCAAAATCCAGGTGGGACCAACTCAAGGTCATATGTTGGCTCTCTTGGGCTGGCTTTAATTTTCTTCTATTTCAACCTCAATTTTCATAGGAGTAAATGATCATCTATTTCACACGGCCTCATTCACCTGCTGATACTGAGTTTATCCATTGTCTCATCCCACAGAGGTAGCCCGTTTGGTTCCTGTGTATTCTATCTGGCGATGCCCATGTGTGCAGTCGCCTCTTATGTTGTTAGGAAAAGGTATTTTCAACGAAGAAACTGTTGGTCTGGAAAAATTCTATCATGCAATCTTCAGCTTTGTTTCTACACAAAGTCCATGTTTTCCAATTGCTGTTCCTTCCTCTGTTCCTAACTTTTGTATCCCAATTACCAATAATTATCAATCTATCTTGATTGCACGGTTGATCCATTTCAGACAGAAGAAGCTGATAGAATTCTTCAATTTTGTCATCACAGGCTTTACTGGTTGGTGTGTAAATTTGAATAATGTTTTTATCTGGACTTCCTTGAGGCATCTAGATATTACCCTATCACAGTCAGCATGGTACTTCAAGATAATTTTTGACATGTTCTTTTCGATGACGACTGGGACTCCATTCCCTGTGCCTTTGTTCTCAGACAGTAGACCATGACTGCTGATTCACCAAGACAAGACACTTCCGCTCACTGATGCTGCAGATGCCATTCTTTGTGCTCCATCTCATTTTTGACGGCTTCCAATTTCCCTAGATTCATACTGCATACATTCCACGTTCAGATCGTTACTGGGTGTTTGCAGCTGTTTCTGCTCACTCGGAGTCCCACCTAATCAGCAAACGAAGGTCCCATGAGCTTTTTCCCATCCTCGTCCTCAGTTGTACACTGAGTGCTTTCCAGTTGTGGGGCTCATCTCCAGCACTCGATCTGACAACATTCGGCTGCTATTCGGGTGGTTTTCAGTGGCGAATCTGTCAGACGGGGACAGCCTGTTGCTTCTTCATAATCTGTTCTTGGCCTGGAAATGCTGCTGAAACCTCAGCATTCAGCAACATGCAAGTTACCACAAACTGACTGCATTTTAATTAGTCCATGTTAAATTTGCTAAACTGCCAAAGTTACCGAATGACTGGCATGAGGTGACTCTGTCATCCTGGGAAATAATTTTCTGTAGTTGTTATCATCACAAATTATCACAGACTTGGTGGCTTACAGCAATGGATACTTACTCTCATACAGTCTTGCATGTCAGCTGTCAGAAATTAGTCTTTCAGGCTTAAAATCCAGTTGCCAGTAGAGCTGGTTCCTTTGAGAATCTCCAAAAGAGAACCCATTCCTTGGTTCTGCAGCTTCTAGGCTCCTGGTACCATGACAACTTGTGCCCCAATGTCACATTGTTTTCTCCAGTACTGCCTCCCAGCCTCCTGCCTCCCTGGTAGAGAGAAGAAAGACCTTGGTGGCTACATTGGGCCCCACGGGGTATCCCAGGATAATCTCTGCTTCTCAGCACCCTTAACTTAATCACACACCCAAGTGTCCTTTTCAGCTAACTATTCCCAGGTCCAGGAATTTGAGCATAGGCATCTTCAGGGGGTCTACTACATCCCGTCCCATTTTCTCACAGCCTTTGGGCTTCGGAGGCCATCTCCCCCTTTAATCATCATATATTTAGACCCTCTCTCTTTTGGTCCTTAATGAGTTGGCAAAATGTTGTCAATATTATTTGTCTTTAGAGATCATGTTTGACTTTGCATGTGTTATTAACTTTAGCTTCGTTCTTCTTAATTTGGGTTTCCCCTTATGACCTTTTGCTACCTTCATTAAGTATAGTATTAGCTCATAACATTTAAACTAACTGTTCTAATGTATAAATTTAAGACTGTAGTTTTCCTGTAAGCATCTCCTCAGCTGAGTCTCACACCTTGCTGTGTGGATCATTGATTGGTCTGTTTGTGATTCCATCGGATCCTCAGCATGGCTTTCTCGCTTGAACCCTATCTCAGGTCTTTGTTTTCAAAATTTCCAACGTTGTGGGTTATTTTCAGTCCACTTACTGGAATTCTTATTTATTCTGTACGTATCAGCCAGAATTCCATAATGAACTTCCTTGCATTGAAGCTGTGGTTACTCATGGTTTCTCGCCAATATAATTCATAGAGAAAGGACAGCCTAAAGGCTTTGTTGTTTCTCTTTATCCGTTTTCAGGGTCATGACTTGGTGCCTTCAGTTTAATGAGGATCTATCTTATAATAGTGTAAACTTAAGGACTTTTTTTCTTTTGGTTGTGTTTTATCTGGGTACTCCATTTCTCCACACTGCAGTCGGTGGAAATCCTGTCAAGTCTGTATCTTTTCAAGCTCTTTGACATAAACCCATTGACCTTCGAAAGTTTCTTTGCTTCCCGGTACAATAATGTTCCTTCATCCAGCTCATCCAGCATATTTCCTGGCTTAGACCTGAAAGAGGTCTGGTTCATTTTATTGAAGATACCTTTCTAAACTACAATCTAATATGTACACTTACTCATTCTGATTGGGCTGCCATTAATGTTAGGGCTTTTCACAGCTGGAAAATGGGTCAGTTTAAAAGAAAAACAGAAGTCAAAAGTCTATACTAATCTTTTAAACAATTTACTTGTGTGTCACTTCTCTTATACTCAAAAGGCTATCTCCTAATTGAATTCACATAATGCTTATTTGCTCTCTACTGTGAGTTCCATGTATGGTTATTTATTGTCTACATCTCTGTTACTCTCGTTTGCAGCTTTCATGCGCTTAAGGATGAGATGTTTACCAGGCACACACTGTTTCGTCAGTTTGCAGTGCTGACTGATACATCCTTCAATTATACCGTAAGTGTATGCAATGTTATTTTTCTCTTTGAATCGCCCCTTCCGTGTCTTTGTGGTGCTGCTCAACCTTTATCAAGCCCCTGTCATGAGAGACTCTGGGTATGGATAGTACGTGACAGTCCTTCTGCTTGATGCCCAGAGCCTAGGACAGAGTGTCTGAACCTGGAGGGTCCAGGCTGAGAGAAGGTAAAGGCATGTCAGCAAATGTTTATAGTATAGTGGGCTTGAGGTGTCCTAGAGGCAAGTTGAAATTTTAGAGAGGAGTCAAGTCACTCTGGCTGGAGAGCAGCTGCTATGCTGCCCTCTTTTGAGCAGGAATCTAATATTGGACCACAGGAGAGCGAAAGGTCCAAGTACCCAGTCATTTAAAGGGGGAAAGGGAATCTGTTCTCGGACCAGGCCAGGCAAACACATGGGCACTAGAGATCTCTCGTAGATAAAACCTAAGTCCATAATAAATTATTGTTTTAAAAACCTGCTTGACCTACCGTTTTCATTTCGAAGTTCTACTTGTAAAGTTCAAGGATGCCTGCATATAGTAGTCACGTCGTAATCTGGTGTCAATTTAAGGATTAAGAGTGTAGGGGTGGAGTCTAGGGTGTCAATCTGGAGATAGCCAATGAGACTTCTGTGGGCATGGGCTTCTCCTGAGAATTCTGGTAAATCTGGTACTTCCTCCTTGGAGGCAGAAGACACCTCTCTCTCTGCTACTCCCTGGGAGACATTGCAGAAGACAAGCCACATGGACGCAACCAGACCTCGGAAGCCAGAGAAGCCACAGAGAGACCCCTGCCAGCACTGAGATGCTTACAACGCCACTGGACCCAAAGACTTTCTACCCACTGGCTTGTGATCATCCTGCATTTGGCTTCATTGCATGTGCTTTGTGAGTCTGAAGAGGACTTCATAGATTGGTATCAGACACATGGGCTAATATCAGACTTATGGCCTTGGACTGGACTGGGTTGGGATGTTTTCTAAATGTTCAATTCCTCTTGTATATAAATCTCTTTCTTATACATATATGTGTGTCCATGGATTTGTTCCTCTAGTCTACCCAGACCAACACACTACAGTAGGAAGACACCCAACGAAGCTCAAATAATAAGTAAACCAGCATGCAGCATGCGGCAAACTCCGTGCTCTGGAAACAAGTGAAGTTGTAGAAAGAATATTTAAATGTTCAATGTGGTCTATCGTTTACAACCTAAAACCATTTTCTGTCAACATGTTCTCTTAATACATTGCTCTCCCCGGGCAGTGGCCCAGCTGAGGAACACTGGGAAGAGCACACTCCTTTTCATGGGCAACCTTGATTATTCTGAGGGTTTCGACAAGTGCTCCGTGAATGCTTTCAGAAGGAGGCCTGGTGGTGCCGTGGGTGACGCGCTGGGCTGCTTAGTCAGCAGGTGGAACCCACCAGTCCCTCCTCGGAAGAGACATGGGCTTCCTATTCCTAAAGCAAAGTTTCACCCGGGGAACCCACAGGGGTAGTTCCGAGGGGCGGCAGTGACTCGGCCCTGGGTGGTGAATCCAGTCTGAAACACTCTAAGCTAGCTCACAAAGATAATACCCCGAGGATGCGTGGCCTTTGGAAGGGACCCTGCCCCTGGAATGCTTGCGTTTCCGTGGCTCCCCATCCTCCCCACACTGATTCTGTTCCTTTGCCATTGTGTGTTTGCCCCCATTTTAACCGTATTAATCCTATGAGACAGTAGTTCCGTTTGCACTTCCCCATTGCCCAGTGACCTTGAGATCTTTTCATGTGCTTCTTGGCTATGTAGCTTCCTTTCACTTTTTGTTTCTTTTTCGTTGAGATTCCATTCTCTCTACTTTGTCTTTTATTCCTTCCAATGAGTGAACAAAGCAACAGGGGAGCCACATAAACAAAACTTTCAAATGCAAAATGGGTTTAATCAGCGGTTCTCAACCTGTGGGTCATGACCCCTATGGGGGTCCAACGATGTTTTCAAAGGGGTCGTCCATTCATAGCAGTAGCAAAATGGCAGTTATGAAGTAGCAACAAAAATAAATGACTCATTCAAATTAGAATAATTAGTCAAACGTGACCCTCTCAAATCTCCCACTGAATAATTTCACATTTTTCATCTCTTCTTACTGAACATGACTAACACCAAAATGACGCCACTCATTTCCAGAAGAAGTGAACAAGAAGAACACAGACAAATGAATATTCTTTTAAAAAATGCTTGAATTAAATGAATAAAATATTTTGTGGGTTTTTGTTGTTTGTTTTGGTTTTAAATCACAAACAACAAGCTCTTAAGAAAATGTCTAAAAGACGCCACCCAGAAAGAATGAAAAGTCAACCTGAGCCCCAATATAGTTGATGAAAATCTGACATCAGACAAGCAACAATGTATTTTAAAATGTAGAGTCCAGTTCCTCCAGTGAATTCTACATATAAATTCCCTTATGCTCCCACGCCAACAAAAAGCAGATAAGATACAATATTTAGTCTTTGAACTCAGCTCAGAAGGAAAGATAAACAGGTCCCAAGTAATCTGGAAGGTAAATCCATGTGCACTATTTCATGTTGTGGTAGTTACATAATCTGGTGTCAATTTTGGACTTGAGAGGAATAAGAGTGAAGGGGTGGAGTCTAGTCTGTCAATCGGGTCATAGCCAATGAGGCTCTGTGTGGGCATGGCCTTCCCCTGAGGATTTGGGAATTCCTGTATTACCTCCTTGGAGACAGGAGACACTTTCTCTCTGTGCTCACTCCCTGAGAGATGCTCTACTGACAAGACACATGACACTATGCTGATAGACCCCATGCCCTGGGAACTGGAGAAGCCATGTGGAAACCACGGCAAGTACTGAGATGCTTACAACACCACTGGAACCACAAGACTTCCTACTCATTGGCCTGTGATTGTCCTGCATTCAGCATCATTGCATGTGTTTCATGAGACTGAAGGGGAATGTATAGATTGGTATCAGACATATGGGCTAATAAAGGACTTAAGGACTTGATCTGGACTGAGTTGGGATGTTTTCTCAATATTCAGCTGCTCTTGTGTAAAAACCACTTTCTCATACACATATGACAGTGTCCATGGGTTTGTTTCTCTAGTCTACCCAGACTAACACACGTGTTGAGCATATGGTCTGTACAAGTTGGGTAAGAAGAGAAGGAACGGTGTGGCCTATGCTAGTCCAAGAAGAAAAAAGAGAGAGAATCGAAGAAGCCAAGGAAAAAGTAAGGAAGAGGAAAGAGAATATGTAAAAGGCAGAGGAAGAAGCCAGCCTGACACAACAGAATGAAAGGATACTGTTTGCTTTGCTTTGGAATTTAAATCCATAAAAGATTACCAGTCACTGAAATGTAGACCCAAACCCACTGTCGTTGCGTTGATTCCGACTCTCAGCAACCCTAGAGGGCAGAGGACAGTGCCCCCTGTGGGTTTCCAAGGACGTAACCCTTTATGGGAGCATAAAGCCTCATCTTTCTCCAGCGGCTGCTAACTGCAATTGAGTGGCCCATTGTTCCACTCACCACGCTCCCTAGGCTTCTAAATGAAACATACAGTCAATAAAATGACATCACACGCGAGATGAGAAAACAACAGAGAAAGATGAAAGTGGATATTCCTGGGGTAAGGAAACTCATTGAGGACAAAGGCAGCAATTAGCATGTTGGATGCAACCAAAAATATAGAGAGAAACCTCACAGGAGATGGAACGTAAAAATACAAAGAAATAAACCTAGATAATATGTTCAATACTGATATTGGAAGTCCTCCACTTTGTGTTAATGTGATGATTCTATACTCCTTTGGGACTTACCTACTCCTTCTCTCCCATACTTTACAGTTCCATCAGCAAGGAGTAAGAGCAGGTTCCCTTGGACTGTGTTTTGAGAATATTCTGAATGACTCACCAGGGGCCACTGTAGCAATTGAGTTTAAGGGGTATGGGGTGGGGAGTGACTTAGACTACTGCAGTGACATATGTGAGGTGAGAAGTAACTGGATGTGTGAACAGCTAATTAGTCCACACAGCAGTACAGGGGGCTCAGCTCAACTCACTTCTGTGGAACAGTTAATGTACTGGAAGTCCTTCAACTCAAGAGGGCTGCTGGGTCCAAGGCTGAGGAAACAGACAGCTGAGTCTTCCCTTGGGCAATGCAGGCAGAGTCTGTCCAAAGGCAGGAAACAGCAGGGCAGGTCACCAACATTCAGCAGCCCAAGAGCTTAGCAAAGCAGGCCCAAATGGGATATCAAATTCAAGCAATACAAGATGACAGGATCCACCAGCCTCAAGCTCAAGAGATGCACACACCACCAGGATGGCTCAGCCAGTCTCGAAAGAACCTCAAGCTCTAGCGACAAGATCCACAGGCTGGCTGTCCCACAGGTAGTGTAGTTCAAAACTGAGGCAGAGAACTAGCTAAAGCAGCCATACACTGGTCCGGTCAGCAGAGAACAAGAGAGTGAGGGGTGAGCAGGCCTTGATGAGCCATTTATCTCTTTGCCCTCCAATCAAACTACAACCTGATTAATCCCACATGTTCCTATTGGCCAGGTTGGCACAATAAACCTACCTATAACACTGGATATGGAATACTTTTAAAGATTTTCTGGAGACCATAGATATAATGTGGGAGAAAAAGAGTTTCCACAGCTTGGAGTTGTGGCCAGAATTCTGCCTCTCTCCTCCCTTCTGCAATGAGCAAGGGAAGTTCATACTCCTAGACCCATGTTCATGCATTTTCATGGGATTCTGGGGGCCGCTCAGGTACATGCGTATCCTGGTTAATTCTTACCTAGCTGTTTCCGCGGTGTTGCAATCTCTACACAACCTCTCTGTGTAGAGATTGCAGGAGATTAAGGTGGCTCAGTGGACTTGGCGATAAATTCTGCTCTGGTTACTTCAAAACACCCAGTGGGAAAGAGGAACTATGACCAATTTTGTGTAATTTGACCCTAAGCTTCCCAGTCAGGAAACAACCAGTGAGCAATACACAAGTTATCGTCCTACTTATTATCCAGGTCACATCTCTTTATGATGTTTGCATAGACGCGGCTGTCAAGCTTCAGTAATGCTGTTGTTAGGTGCCACAGAGTGAGTGTCAACTCATAGTGACCCCATGTACCCACACACCCCCCCCCCAAAAAAAGAGGAAACACTGCCTGGTCCTGTGCATCCTCACAATTGTTGTTATGTGTGAGGCCATTCATGGAGCCACTGTGTCACTTCACCTCGTCAAGGGCCTTCCTCTCTTTCGCTGGCCGCCTTTTGTACCCAGCATGTCTCTCCTGACAACATGTCCAAGCACGAGACCACGTCTTGCCACCCTTGCCACTAAGGAGCTTTCTACCCATACTTCTTCTAAGACACATTTGTTGGTGCTTTTGGCAGTTCAGGGTGGTGTTAGTCCGGGTAGACTAGAGGAAAAAAATCCAAGGAGACTCATATAGGTATTAGAAGAGGTTTATATACAAGAGCAATTGAATATTGAAAAAGCATCCCAGATCAGTCCAGATCAAGTCCATAAGTCCGATATTAGCCCATATATCTGATACCAATCTATAAAGCCCTCTTCAGACTCACAAAACACATGCAATGATGCCAAATACAGGAAGATCACAGGTCAGTGGGTGGGAAGTCTTATGGATCTAGTGGCGGTATAAGCATCTCAGCACCAGCAGGGGTCTCCACGTAGTTTCTTCAGCTCCCAGGGCTCTGGTTGCATCAGGGTAGGTCCATGTGGCTTCTCCTCAGGGATGTCTCACAGGGAGTGAGCAGAGAGAAAGTATATCTCCCACCTCCAAGGAGGAAATACAGGAGTTCCCAGAATCCTCAGGAGAAGGCCATGCCCACAGAGAGGCCTAATTGGCTATAACCTAATTGACAGGCTAGACTCCACCCCTACACTCTTAATCCTTAAATTGACCCCAGATTATGTAACTACCACAAGGGTACTTTCAAAATTCTTCCCCAGTATCACAATTCAATGCATCCATTTTTCTCTTTCTTCATTATTCAATGTCCAACCTTCACATTCATATAAGGGGACTGAAAATACCATGGCTTAAATCAGGTGCACCCTACTCCTTAAAATGACATCCTTGCTCTTCAACACTTTAAAGAGCTCTTGTGCAGCAGATGTGCCCATTACAATGTGTCCTTTGATTTCTTGATTGATGCTTCCATGAGCATCAATTGCGGATCGAAGCAAAACAAAATCCTTGACAACTTTAGTCTTCTCTCTGTCCATCATGAGGTTACCTAGTGATCCAGTGTGAGTATTTTTGATTTCTTTACATTGAGTCGTAATCCATATTGAAGGCTGCAAACCTTGATCTTCAACAGTAAGAGCTTCAAGTCCTCCTCACTTTTAGCAAGCAAAGTTGTATTGGCTGCATATCAAATGTTGTTGATAAGCCTTCCTCCAATCCGATGCCATGTTCTTTGTCATAAAATCCAACTCCTCAGATTATGTTCTCAGCATACAGCTTAAAATAAGTATTGTGATGGATACAACCTTGAACACACCTTTCCTGATTTTAAACCACATTGTATTCCCTTGTTCTGTTTGCACAGTTGCCTCTCAGTTCATGCATGGGTTCTACATGCACACCATGAGTGTTTTGGAATTCCCATTCTTGTCAGTGTTATCCTTGGTTGGTTATGATCCACATAGTCAAATGCCTTTGTGTAATCAGTAAACATTTTTCTGATATTCCTTGCATTGAGTCAAAATCCATCTGATGTCAACAATGATTTTCCTCGGTCCACAGTCTCTTCTAAATCTGCCCTGTATGTCTGGAAGCTCCCTGTCAATGTACTACTACAACCTTCTTTGAATGATTTTCGGCAATATTTTACTTGCATGTGACATTAATGGTATTGTTCAATCATGCCTGCACTCTATGGGGCCATCTTTCCTTGGATTGGGTGGAAATATGAATCTCTTCCCTTTTTCTTCAGTAGCATAGCAACCTATTTTATATGAAAAATAAGCACATAGACCTCTCTTGCCAACCTGAGTGTTACTTAAATGGTTTTTATGCTTTATGCTGCCACGTAGTTAAAGCACACAAGATATAACTCTAGGTATGAACTTATGCCTCGTGGTCCTACAGTTGAAACCACTTGACAAAAGATTGGTAAATCTCAAATTGTTATAGTAATGCAGTGTGACAGATGATGTTACACTGGCACTTAGTGGACATGGTGTTGCAGGGTGGGACACAGGCTCTAAATTTGGGTGTCCCTGTCTTAGAATGTGCCCTGGGATGACGCTGGCTTCCTCTGCCCTTGTGGTGAAAGACAAGACTTGAAAGTAGTCAAGGAGAGAGCCACATGGATACCTAGGGGATGGGTTTTCTAGACAGGGAAAGGATCACCGTGAAAGCTCTGAGGTAGTTGCTTGGCACGTTCTAGAACTAGCCAGGCATCAGCTGTGGCCAGGACAGTGAGCGAGAGGAGGGAGAATAGCAATGCTGCAAAAATGTGGTCAGAGGGATAATAGGACATTGATTTCTTTTTTAACTCTTAAGTAAAACAGGAATCCTTTTCAGAGTTTTGAGCAGGGTATGAATGCCATTTCACTCAACGTGCTGAAGGAACAATTCTAGCTGCTTTAGGAAGAGCAGGGCAAAGGAGCAAGTTAAGAAGCTATGGCACTGATGCTGGTAAGAGATGGTGCCTTGGACCACCTTAGAGGCAATAGATGGGCAAACCAGTGCAAATACATCCCTGGAGCAATGAACCTCAGGAGTATATGATGAAATAGATGGAGCCCAAAGACTGAGTGAGAGATATAGAGAACACACAAGGACACACTGTTTTTTCTTTAAATCTATGATGTACTCGACACTAGCTCAAGATTGAATGGATCAGTGAAAAAGAAAAAGTCCCTCCCATTAAACTGTGGTGTTGCAGTTATTCTAAGACATCATATTCCAATTTTAAAAGGATCACAAGATTAGATGGCTGAAGGCAACATGAGAAGCAGAGAACTGATGGAAGTCATCAAGGATTTCATCCTCCTTGGATCCATACACAAGGCTCATGGAAACAGCAGTCCACGTGCCCTGGGTCAATCTGCTGCACAAGACCTCTTTTAAGTGTCGAAAAGCTAAGTTGCCTCTGACCCAAGCCATAGTATTTTCAGTCACCTCATATGCATGTCAAAGTTGGACATTGAATAAAGAAGATTGAAGAAAATGGGTGCAATTATCACCAAAACCAAAAAAAGAAAATGGGTGCCTTTGATTGATGGTGCTGGAGAAGAATATTGAAAGTACCATCAACTGCCAAAAGAATCAACAAATCTGTCTTGGAAGAAGTACAGCCAGAATGCCCCATAGAGGCAAGGATGGTGAGACTGTCTCCTATATTTTGGACATGTTGTCAGGAGAGACCAGCCCCTGGAGATGGACATCGTGCTTGGTAAATCAGCAGGGTAGCGCAAAAGAGGAAGGCCCTCAACCAGATGGATGGACACAGTGGCGGCAGCAACGGGCTCCCACATAAGATAACGGTGAGACTGGCGCAGGCGGTGGTTTTTCTGTTGGGCACAGGGTCATGATGAGTCAGAACTGACTGGATTGCACCTAACAACAATAACATGTCCTAACGGAAATGAAACAGCATTCCCATAACGTCACACCATCAACTACACTGTATGTATAAAACAAAATGTTTAAAATCGTTTCTTTTGAGGGTAGGAAAACAGTGGACTATCGGGATAGGGCCATACAGGATTCTAGAGAAGCCTCGAATGGAGAGGAATTTGCAAATATCCTCAGAGTACATTAATGGACTTCTTCTTCATAAACCTGCTTGGTCTACCCTTTCACCTGCCCATGTTGAATGTTATGATTTACTTCTCATATGATAATGGATGACAGTTCGACCTGCATGCTGCTGCTTCTGAAGCCCTGGAAGAGATGCTCTGGGGCAAATATTCATGTTTCTGGAGCTCTGTGTAGCATTTGGGAGCAATCTATTTTAGGTACACATAAGCAGATGGATGTGTTGGTCCTGCCCTGACTGTGGCTTCCCAGAGCCAGGAGGCACTGAGGAGGAGCCTGTGATACCGGGCTAATTGGTGGTGTCGCCGGTTGCAATGGAGTCGGCTTCAACTCATGTCAATTGCACGAGACCCTCATCCCGATCACTGGCATGTGTGAGAGCCTGATGGCAACTGTTGCGTAATGCAGTCAGGCTTCGGGTCACTTAGGGTCCGCAGGGTTTTCACTGGGTGATTTAATACAGCAGATCACCAGTCCTTTCTTCCTAGTCTGTCTTCGTTTGGAAGCTCCACTGACACTTGTCCTCCCTGATAATGCTGCGAGTATTTGAACACTACTGGCACAGCGTCCGCCTCACAGCAACATACGACCAACCACAACCAACCACTGTTAGTTAGGACAAACTAACAGTGGTCCGACCAATTATGAGTAATAATTCCGAAGTGGGGTAGAGGTCATCCAAAGTACCAGTGGGAAAAATTGACGTTTCTCTCAAGTAGCCAAATCTACGCACCAATTTAAAGAGAAAGGCTGCCCCAATCAGATGTCAGCAAATACGTTAGGAGCATAGTTTCCTAGGTTGGTAAACCATAGGACAAAGAAGAGTTGACTCCCGTTTGATCTGACCACTATTTCTGCCTGGATAACACAGTGTACCCTTTTTTTTTTTTTATGTATTTCAGAAAGCAAAGCCCTTATTCGTGCAGTCCAACTCTTACATGTCAGTGTCCACATCTTCCAGAAGCGTTGCCAACGGATCTTCAGTAAGTAGCTTTTCTCTTCCGATTAAACGTTTAAGCAATTGGTCTGATTCAACTTCAGTAAGGAAGCTTTTCTGGTTCTGTTGCAGTTAGAGAACCAGCACATGTCCGCCAGCAGTGACCAGATACCCTTTCAAGGTCAGACTCAATTATGGGAAAAAGAAGTCTACACACGAACGGGTCCCCAGTCTAGGCTGAATCTGCCTTGCTTTGTTACCTTGGTGTGCTTGCTATTCTGCGCGATTTCATGACTCTCCTATTTTCCATTCGTAAGCTAAAACCTAGGGATGCCAAAGAAAAGAATGCTAATATGCATTTCTAAACATCAGCCGCCGCTATTTGAAAATTCATCCAGTCCTGGTTCCAAACTAGAAAGTTGGGATCCTTTTGTTGTTGTTGTTTTTAAACTGCCAAGGAACCTGAAGCTTCTCTTACATTGCTGATGCTTCCAATTTAGTAATGGTGTGTGTGTGTGTGTGGGGGGGGGGGGGGGATTTGTCTATTTCCAACATATTTAATTTCCCATCCATCTTTAATTAATTGATTTGTTTGTTTGTTTTTGAAGCTCTTGAATGTTTTGAAGCTTCCAATTGAATTCTTTTGAAATCAGAAGTGGCTTTAGTCCATCGGTTTCTATTTTTAAGGCACAAGGATAATTTCTCTTTCCTGAATTTCCAAAATACAAAGGCTACTCATTCCTATTTTTTCCCTTAGCTCAGCTAACAAGGTTGAAGGGCTGACTGAGTGATTAGATGAGATGAATGGAATTCATAATTTACAGCTTACCGCTAAGAGTCCTAATCAACTTGATGATAACCAGGTTGGATTTCAGCTTAAGAAAGCAGTTGGGTGAACAACATGTAAAATTATTCATTTGAATTATTATGATGATAGTAAAAACACAAAAACCTCACTGCCATGAAGTCAATTCCGATGCCTGGGGACCCTATGGAAGAGGTAGAGGTTTGGCTGTGGGTTTCTGAGGACCGTACATCTTTACGGAAGTAGAAAGCCTCGTCTTTCTCCCTCAGGGCTGCGGGTGGTGTTGCGCAGTGGTCTGCAGCCCAATGCAGAATCACCACACCAGGGGCTTCCTGTCAGCATGATATGGACCCAGCTCAATCAACTACTGTACAACTAGTTCCAGTTCCTGGCAATCCCATGTGTTGCAGCACAGAACATCCCTCCATAGGTGTGTGTCCCAGACGGTCACTTTCGGGAAGCACCTTGGGTTTCAACCACATCCTTTCAGCTAGCAGTTGAGTGTTTTGTTTTGTTTTTTAAGTAATCATTTTATTAGGGGCCCATACAACTCATCACAATCCGTACATATGTCATTTGTGTCCAGCACATCAGTACATATGTGGACTTCATCATTCTCACAACACCCGCTTTCCACTTGAGCCCTTGGTGTCAGCTCCTCCTTTTTCCCCCTCGCTCCCCCCTCCCCCTGAACCCTTGATAATTTGTAAATTATTATTATTTTATGATATCTTACCCCATCTGACATCTCCCTCACCCACTTCTCCGCTGTCCGTCCCCCAGGGAGGAGGCCATATGTAGACCTTGTCTAGCAGTTGAGTGCTTAACTCTTTACACCACCCAGGGTCTCGTAACTTTTGCTTGTTATGTTTGAGCATATTTAAAAGTAGAGTGTTTCATAATAAATCTCTATTCCGGGGTGAAATTATGATTTAAATCCTGGGTCTCAATTTTTAAACCTTTTAAGGCCTAGACTGAGCCTCTCTTTTCTTGGACCTATGTACAATGGAAAGGCTTACTCTGAGGGTCTTCTAGCTATTGGTAGTGTCTGTTGATGGATGCGGCAGGATAACCAAGACTGGGCTTTATAGTGCCCATTTGCTGGCTGAAAAGATGCCAACTCTTTAAAAGTTTACTATTGAAGTCATGAATTCAATCTGCTGAGTTGTTGGAAATCCCAAGCCAGGCAGTAAGTTATTTCTGAAACATCTGAACGCGCCAGGCAAAGTGAGGCCCTCGTGCTTGCTTCCCATTAGCGGCAATGTGGATTTGGATGAGTTGGAAGTCTGAGATTTGTGGCCTGAAATTCTAATGAGAAAATGCGATTGACTGTAGCACCCCGTTCTCCCCGAAAAGTCCCCTTGAAGACTGTGCATTTGCCAGATTGACTTTTCCGAGCCAGGCGGACCATTTGGCAGTGGGTCACTTAAAGCAGCATTTCCGTGGCCATTGGGCCTGTCAGGTAGTCCCTCTGGGGAAACAGCACTGTCACTCCTTTCCTTAACAGTATAAAATGTGGCTATTTCTACTCTTTCTACTGAAAAAAACAACAACAACAACCCTAAAATCAATGGATCAGAATCCACTGCTGTCGAGTTATTCTGATAATAGTGACCCCTCATGACAGAGTAGAATTGCTCCACAAGGTTTCTGAGGGGTATACACCTTTCCAGAAACAGATGCCTCCTCTGAGTGGCTGGGGGATTCGGATGTGAACCTATCCTTGAGTAGTCTGATGCCGGATCCACTGTAGCCACTGGATTCCTTAGCAATCATGAGTCCGCTTCTTTTGCCTCACTGAAAAATTCACATATACATCTTGATGACCCATCATCTCCAGTGTGTCCCAAGGTTCCCCATTGTTAATAGCGACCCATGCTCTGGAGGAGATGGAAGAGAAAATGTTCCTGCCGAAGGCCTCTGGGTAAACCCTGAAGATTCTGCTCCTAAATCTCAGAGGTCAACTTTGACCTGCCATCTTCTCTCTGAAAATCCCCCTCCCTGGCTCCCGTCGAGTCAAACCTAACTCATCGCAACCTGCTGACCCTGTGGGATTCCAGGTTACACATCGTAGTTTATTTTTGAGTTTATTAGCACTTTATCCACAGCATGCAGTTCAACAACTCGATCACCTCAAAGACAGGTGTACCATTGTCATTATATTCGATTCTAGAACATTTCTTCTTCCTCGGAGCCGTTGTTAGCCACGCTATTATTGTTATTGTTATTTTTAATTGTGGCAAAAATATACACAACAGAGCAGTCTCCAGTTCCACAACTTCTACTTGTGTAAATCAGGGTCACTGGTCACACTCTTCACGCTGTACAGCCACTATGGGTATCATTTCCCAATGGGGCTACCACCGTGCCATAAATACAGTGCCCAGATGTAACAACCCTTCCCCTTCATCTATGGTAACCATTGCTCAAGTTTGGTTTCTTTCTTTCTCCTCCCCACCCCCCATGGTTTTTGGATATAATATCCACTTATCATATACTTCCATGGTTAAATCTCTTTTAAAATGAGTTGTATAAGAAATTCTAGTGCTCTCACTCCCGCATATATTGCTTGTTTCCCCAAATCCCCTCTCGCTCCCTATCTCTCACTCCCCCACACCCACATCCCCTATAAACCCTTGCATCAGTTATTATCTCTACCCATCTCCTCCTCCTCCTGTGCTTCACCAACTGGGAGGCCCAACAGAAACAATAAAAACAAACAAAATAAAGGGATAAGGTTAAAATAATAATAATATAAATATACAAATAATGAGTAAGAAAGAAAAGACCACCGTCAATATTTTAAAAGCCAGGGAAGACAGTTTTGTCATGGGACAAGCAAGAAATACTTGAGCCTAGAACAAATTCAGGTTGGTTCAAGGGGCAGGTCAACTGACTGAGCATCAAGTTTGATCTAACACAATCAAGTTTACAATGGTCTCTATCTGATAGTAAAGCTGTGCTAGACTCTTGCTTGTGGCTAGAGGGGATCTGCCAGAGGTTTAATCTGACTAGATCCTCTGCAGATGGGTTTGGCCCCCCCCCCCTGCTGTCCTCCATAGGCTTCTACAAATGGGGTGTCCACAATTTAGGTTCTGACACTTTTCCCTTCATCATATTTGGATTTTGTTACTGTCATCTTTGGATCACATAAGCAGGAGTGCTTCTTCTACGTGGATCTAGGTGATGCCTTGCTTAGATGGCTGCTTGTTTGAATACAAGCCTGTAAGACCCCAGACACTGTTCTGATTGATAGCCAGGCACCATCTGCTTTCTTCACCACACTTTGCTGTAGCCCCCTTATCTCCAGTGATCATTTCATGAAGGTGAGTATCAAGCAGGGCCATGTGATCAGAACTAACTGTTGGATTGGGGCTACAGTTAAGTGGGAGCCCAGAATCCATCTGCTTGACCACAGGTTATGTACGACTCGGGGTTCCTTTGGTGGTCGTATTATGACAAAAATCAAAGGACCAGCTACACCGACAACAGCAGCAAACCAACCAGCAAACAAACAAAAGGCAGGAAAATAAAAACTCATAGCAACACAAATGTAAAACATTGCTATTTGTCTCCCTGGGGTATAAAGCAATGCACTGATAGCATCAAATGGTTTCCAATGGCATGGCCCTCCAGAGTGAGGCGTCTATGCCAGCACAGTTCCACCATGAGCCGAAACCCCTGACTTAAAATTGCCGAAAGCAGTTCCATCTCCCATCGACTTGAGCTCTGTTTACCCTGTGGCTGGGAATGGTAAAGGGGGGGGGGGGGGGGGGGGGAAGTTACGATTGTGTTATCGGCATATTACCGAATGCTAATGAGTCTTCCGCCATAAAGGGCGGGGGAGGGGGGTACGACAACAACTTCCTGGATCAATTCTTGCAAGTGCAGATCCCTGCCCAATAGATCAAAACCTGTCATATCAACACAAGGGGCCATCAAGGTACTAGATGGATGGTCATTCTGGGTCCCTTTCCATTGGACACCCTCCAAGCCAGGCATTCCCTTCACGGTCCAATGACTACCACTCCCACAGCCCCGGGTGTCCACTCTCTGCTTCCTCTCCCATCAGAGCGCCCCAGTCCTCAGTCCAAGGGTGCCGGTGAAGCTTCAAGGCAGGGCTCCATTCCTTCAGTCGAGCCTCTGTGTTGAGTCCTTCTGGTGTAGCCCCTGAGGTGTGCCAGGCTGCGTGCAAAGCCAGATCCAAGGTCACCGTGGTGTCTAGTCATGGTGTGGTTCATCAAGGTGTTGGGTAGATGAAAGATTGGAGACAGAGGCGCAGAACAGAGAAAGAATGTAGCCAGGAATGTGAAGTTGAGAAAGATTGTATTGAGTCAGGGAAAGAACTCCCAGGAGGAAAGGGAGAGCAGAAAAAGGGGCGGGGGCATCTTGAGCCCCCGGGCAGGTTCTGAGACC